ACACCCGAGGCCCCCGGGACCTCGTCCAATCATACCAACTACTCCCAAAATATAATACGGACCTGCTCAAGGCCTCAAATCATATAAAACAACATCAAAATCGCAAATCACACCTCGATTCAAACCTAAGGAACTCATGAACTTTCGACTTTCAAAACTTATGCCGAGCCATATTAAATAAACTTGGAATGATCTCAAATTTTCCATACAAGTCTCAAATAACACGAAGTACCTATTCCAACTCTCAAAACTAAAAACTGAACCCAATATCAGTAAAGTCAACTCCAGGTCAAACCTATGAACCTTCCAAACCTTCAACTTTCCAACTTTCGCCAAAAAGCACCGAATCCACCTGCAGATCTCCAAATCCAAATTCGGACATACGCCTAAGTCCAAAATCACCATACGAATCTATTGGAATCAATAAAATACTATTTCGAGGTCGTCAAAGTCCGGTCAACTCTTACAACTTAAGCTCCCAACCTTGGGACTAAGTATCCCAATTCACTCCAAAACCTCCCCGAAACCAAACCAACCACCCTGAAAAGTCAAGTAACCACAAATATACATATGTAAACCATCAAATAAGAAAAACGAGGTTAAAATACTCAAAATAACCGGCCGGATCGTTACATTAGGCTTTTATACGATGGACTCAAAAAATTTGACTGATGTTAAATGCTTGCTTATGTGATCACAATTCTTTAAATAAAATTATTTTAGATTTTATAAAAAATATAAAATTTATTAAAAAGTCTTATTGACAACCATGAAAAAGTTTCAAAGCTTTGAATTGAACTTTGTGAATTTGTTATTTATTCGGATTAGGTATTGTTATAAATGATTAAGAATATTCCTCAGAATCTATATCTCAATTTTGAAGAACTTTGGTGAATACTCGATTTGGTTTTGGTTGAAATTTCATATTAGAACACGAAGATGGTATTGGACCTACCCTATCTTTCAGAAGTTCCCTTGATGCTACAACTAATTAGATTTGATTTAGGAAACCTTTCTGTCTACTCTCAGTTGTTTTATTTACTTAGAACTCTTAGTTGGTTTAGGATTCTTGTATTTTATATGATGTATCATTATATGTGAAGTAATGAATTGCTTCAGTTGTAATATTCTCTAAAGTCCGTTCAAATATGGTATCAGAAACCAGTTCCAACTAGTCTTCAACCTCCTCTCCTCCAACCAACACTGTGCACTCTGCAACTCTCCCAGTCATATCTTTTTCTCCCTCTTCCAACCCTCTTAACTATGCCCATTACTTTATCTCCATCATACTTACTTTCACCAATTACGTATTATGGAAAATGCACTTGTCGTCGTTCCTGCGATATCAGAATCTTTATGATTTCATAGATGGATCAAGGTCATGCCCACCCTCATTTCTTTCCGTTGAAGGTTCAGACACTGTTAAACCCAACCTAGAATATACCACTTAGATCCAACAATATCAAATTATCATGAGTTTACTTATATCTTCTCCTTTAGAAGAAAACATACCTATTATTATTGGGTTGAACACGTCTAAACATTTGGGATGCTTTGAAAGAAGCCTTGTCTTCTCTCCAATACTAGAGTCCTTAATCTTTATATGCTGTTAGAAAATCTCAAATAAGATAACCTTACTGTCACACAATTTCTCCAAGAGGCGAAGCTTTTGTGTAATGAATTAGCAGCCGCAGGGCGAGTTTTAAATGCTTCATATTTTAATATTTATGCATTTAAAGGATTATGATCTGATTTCAAGGATATTGCTACTACGTTATCTGCACGACTTGAACTAGTTTACTCCGAGCTTCATAGTCTACTGCTGAACCATGAGTTTATTCATGGCTGATCCATGTCCTCCATATACCTTGCTTCATGCGATAAACCTCATATACCATCGATTATGTTGCTCAACTTCCGTGTCATGGTGATATACAAAACCTTGCTCACATCAATAACACCTCTCAAAGGAGCCGTAGAAGATTGTACAGGGGTCGAAGGGGTCGTGGTGACCGCAATCAGTATCACCGTAACAAATATAGTAATAACTACTCTCCCATGGGTCAACCTTGGAATTCAGATAATGATGGAGGAGTAAGGTTCAAATTTGTAATGATACTAATCATCAAGCCGCGACTTGTTTTCAACACTACAATCATATTGTGAATCATTAGGCTCATATCACTCATCAGGCACCGATTCCGTTGACTCAAAAAAGGTTCGCCGACACAGGTGTAACTTATCATATTGCATCTGACCTATCATGCTTTGCTCATGTTGAGGAATACAAGGCCCGAATCAACTACATATTGGTAACATACAAGGTTTGCCAATCCAAATTACTGATCCTGCCTCTTTCTTAAATCTCTTTAATCATACTTTTTTCTTAAATAACATTCTTCATGTTCCCTCTATAACTATGCACCTTATCTATGTTCAAAAGTTTGCTCGTGACAGTAATACTTTCTTTGAATTTCATCCTGATTATGTTCTTATCAAGGATCGAGACTCCTTGGTATCTTTTTCCTTACTGTCCCAATAATACCCAACTCTGATGACGTTGTGAACCAGTGATTCGGCACCGGAATGGTTCCCCCAAGTACCCTCGTGAATTTCTCGTAGGACGTAGTCGGTGTCTCCTAGACCTAAGCATATTTCCAACGGCCCATCGAACATGCTTCTGTACAATGTTCCATCTTCGGCCAATGTGAATCGTGCAACTTTCGATCGCAGAGTCCTCGATTCCTTAGGGTCCGACAGAAGTTTCCATTCTTCACATAAATTGATATATTTGTTCCTCCAATCCCAAGTTAGGCTTGTGGAGTTTATTGCGGAGTGGCCTTCTTCGACTACCGACTTTGAAAGTTGTACGACAGTCCCCGAGCTAATTTCGTCATCTTCGACTGATGACCCCAAATTTGCAAGGGCATCGGCCTCACCGTTCTCCTCTCGAGGTACATACTGTAGGGTCCATTCTTTGAACCGGTGTAAGGTTACCTGCAATTTGTCGAAGTACCTCTATATTCGATCATCTCGAACCTCGAAGGTTTTGTTGACTTGGTTAACCACTAGTTGGGAATCACACTTGGCCTTGATGACCTCTGCTCCCAAACTTTTAGCCAGCTCGAGACCTGCAATCATGGCCTCATACTCAGTCTCATTGTTAGTCAACTTAGGGGTTTTGATAGATTGTCTAATTGTATTGCCTGTGGGTGGCTTCAAAATGATGCCTAGCCCGGATTCCTTCACATTCGAAGCACCATCTGTGAAAAGGGTCCACAACCCCGAGGATGTACCTAATTTTTGCAATAGTTCCTTTTCGACCTCGGGTACGAGGGCTGGTGTAAAGTCGGTCATGAAGTCTGCTAAGATTTGAGACTTGATGGCCTTTTGGGATTGATACTCGATATCGTACCCACTGATTTCAACGGCCCACTTGGCCAGTTGGCCCGAGAGTTCGGGCTTGTGCAAAATGTTGCGAAGGGGATAAGTGGTTACAACAAAAATTGGGTGACATTGAAAATACGATTTTAATTTCCTAGAGGCGCTTATTAGAGCAGGCTCTTATTAGAGCAAGCGCTAATTTTTCTAAGTGTGGGTACCGGGTCTCTGCTTCACCTAAAGTTCGGCTAACGTAGTAAACAGAAAATTGCATACCTTGCTCTTCTCGAACTAGGACACCATTTACCGTGACCTCTGAGGCTGCCAAATATAAGTAGAGTTACTCGTCCGCTTTCAGAGTATGAAGCAATGGTGGACTCGAAAGATACCACTTTAATTCTTCCAATGCTTGTTGGCATTTCGGGATCCAAGTGAAATTGTTCTTCTTTTTGAGTAGTGAGAAGAACCTGTGACTTCGATCCGAAGACCTCGAGATGAACCGGCCTAAAACGGCTATTCGTCCTGTTAACCTTTGTACGACGTTAACGCCGTCCACGACTGTGATGTCTTCGATTGCCTTGATTTTATCGGGATTGATCTCGATTCCCTGATTTGACACCATAAAGCCGAGGAACTTGCCTAAACCTACCCCGAATGCACATTTCTCGGGGTTGAGCTTCATGTTGTATTTTCTTAATATGTCGAAGGTTTCCTGCAAATGTGTCAAATGGTCCTCTGCGCGCAGGGACTTAACTAGCATGTCATCAATATAAACCTCCATTGATTTACCTATTTGTTCTTCGAATATTCGGTTTACTAGGCGTTGACAAGTAGCACTAGCATTTTTTTAGTCCAAACGACATTACATTATAGCAATAAGTATCGTACTTAGTGATAAATGAAGTCTTTTCCTGATCTTCCGAGTTCATTTGTATTTGGTTGTACCTGGAGTAGGCGTCGAGAAAGCTGAGGGTTTCATGGCCAGCCGTGGCATCGATCATGCGACTGATATTCGGCAAAGGAAAAGAATCTTTAGGGCATGATTTGTTTAAGTCTTTATAGTCTACGCACATTCTGAGTATAGTCTACGCACATTCTGAGTTTATTCCCTTTCTTAGGGACTACGACTACGTTTGCTAGCCATTCGGGATATTTTACTCCCCGAATGGACCCTATTTTGAGAAGTTTGGTTACCTCATCCTTGATGAATGCATGCTTAACCTCGAACTGTGGCCTTCTCTTTTGCTTTACCGGTCTGAACTTCGGGTCCAAGCTCAGTCGACGAGTTGTAATCTCCGGTGGGATCCCTGTCATGTCAAGGCGGGACCAAGCAAAACAATCCATATTTTTAATAAGGAATTTAATGAGTTTTTCCCTGAGCTCGGGAGTTAACCCCGTGCCCAGGTATACCTTTCGATCGGGCAGGTGCTCGATCAGTATGACTTGTTCCAGCTCTTCAACGGTTGACTTTGTGGCATCCGAATCATCGGGTATTACGAAGGTTCGAGGTATCATATAATCATCATCCTCAAAATTTTCCTGCTGCTCCGATCTGGTCGAGGCCACCGACTGTGGTTGCTATTTGATTTCCTGCTTTCCCTTCGATTCCGGTCCCTTCGTTATGATAGTGCCAATACTGGTATTACTTCATCAATCGCAAACATCTGTTTGGCTGCGGGTTGTTCACCGTACACCGTCTTGATTCCTTCTGATTTTGGGAATTTCAAGACCTGATGAAGCATTGAAGGTACAACCCTCATATTATGAATCCAAAGTCTTCCGAGTAGTGCGTTGTATCTCATATCACCATCGATTACATGGAACTTCGTTTCATGGATAGTCCTGCCTATGTTTACCAGCAAAATGATATCCCCTTTGGTGGTTTCACTCACCATGTTGAAATCGTTGAGAACCCGAGCTGCAGGAACGATTTGATCCTGGAGGCCGAGCTGTTCCACGACCCTCGATCGGATTATATTTGCCGAGCTACTTGGATCAACCAACATACGTTTAACTTGAATTTTATTCATAAGGATAGATATTACCAGTGCGTCGTTCTGAGGTTGTTCGATCCCTTCTGCATCCTCATCGTTGAAAGATAAGGTATCCTCTAGTACGTAGTCCCGAGTACGTTTCTCCCTTGTGATTGTCACTTTGGTGCGTTTGAATATTGGGCCTTGAGGAACATCGAGCCCACCAACGATTATATGAATCACGTGTTGCGGTTCTTCCTGTTCGTTTTTCCTGTTTGCGTCCCGGTCTTTGAAGTGATTTTTAGCTCGGTCACTCAAGAATTCTCAAAGATGACCCTCGTTGAATAAACGTGCTACTCCTCCCTTAACTGTCTGCAATCTTCGATTCTTTGACCATGGGTTCCATGGTACTTGCACATTTGATTTGGATTCCTTTGAGCTGGATCGGTCTGTAGGGGTCTAGGCCACCTAGTATCCTTGATTCGTCCAATGGCTGACACAATACCTGAAGCATCGACGCTGAAGTTGTATTCCGATAACTGTTGATACCCAATTTTTTCCTGTATATTTTTATATACAAAATACCTTTCAGCATAGGAATTCATATATAAATATGTCCAAGAATTTCCCTATTTTTTCTTTAATTTTTAAAGATTTTTGAACCAATTTTATTGCCCTATTTTATCAATAAAAATCAATAATATTTCCCCAAATGATCATTTTTGTGATTCATTTATTGTATTTTCATATTTATACCAAAATATAGCTAAGGTAATTTTTACACATTTTTTACAAATTTATTTAGTATTTTAAGGCTAAATTGTATATAATTGCGATATTAGCCTGTTTTAAGAATTAATTGCGTTTATGATTATAAATTTGATTCCAATATTTTTAATCTAATATTTATATATTATTAATTAATTCAGTACCCTTAATTTGTCTGCAAAAATCATTTTACTACTTTTATAAAATAAAAAGGAAAAAAGTGGCTATTTAAAATCTAGTCCTATTTATTTCAATTTTAGCCCAAATCAACCACCCCAATTAACCTAATTTCAATCTCAATCGGACCGGCCCAATTCCTAAACTACCCGCCCATGACCCAATTTAATCCAACCCGCCCCGGCTCCCCAATAAATCCAGGCCGTTGATCAAAAGGATCAACGGCCACGATCCCTCCATTCCTTTTTAATTTACCAAACCCCCTTAAACCTAAATCATTTTACCTAACCAGCCACCTTTGAATCCCTTCACCCCCTCAAACTCTCTCGAACCTTCTCTGAACCCTAATCGTCTCACCATCTCCCACCGTGAAACCCACCGGAATCCATGGCTTCCCAGGCTGTGAGAGCCCTATACTCACCTCCTATTGCTCCTATATGCTTGATACCTGCAGATTCGAGGCCTGACCTCGAAGGTTCGAACCCAGACCTCCGTCGATTCGAAGTTCTCCGGCCATCTCTGGCCTTGCTCCGGCGTACTATATATGTTTGATCCTGTTTCTAACCTCTCCGACTCAGATCGGTGACCTTTCAAAGCCTTTCTCGTTTCTAAGGTTCTTCTGAAACCCTAACTCTCCGAGGTTTTCTCCGATTTCTTTAGATTCATTGTATATCTGTGCTCTCCTTGAGTTTTTCAAACGATTTCCCTAACTTCTCTTTCGAAAATTACTTTTTTTTAAAATCTTTCTTTCCGATCTAGGGTTTTCTGAAAAAATGTTTAAGTGTTTCACTGACTTTCTTTTTCTTTTGTGTATTTACCTCTACTCTGCTCCTGTGTTTTTGTCTACCACGTTCTTGTATATCTGTTCTTGTATGTTCTTCTACTGAGTTTCATACTCCGTTCTTGTATGTGTTTTATACGCTCCATGCTTGTATGTTCCGCTACCATGTTTTCCGTACTGTGTTCTCATATGCTTTTCTATTATATTCTTCTTCTACTATGTTCCAGCATGTTTCTCCTATTGTACTTTCTTGCTAAGTTCTTAAGTTTCCTTACTTTTCTTCTACTAAGCCCTGTTTAAATTTCTTCTGAAAAACTTCTTAAGCATGTTTACTTTTCCTATAAGTGTTTTCCTCTATTTTTCTTCGAGTGCTTCTAGTGTGTTCTGCCTGTTACCTTGATATCATGCTTTCTCATGAGTTTTGCTGTTGATAGAAGCATGCAAGAGGTTTCAGTTCTTCTCTGAAACCTCTGAGCCTGCTTCGACCACTTGTCTTCTCATCTATGTACTTGACTCAAGGCGAAAACCCCAAAATTTGGGGGTTCTGCCAGGTTGATCATATATTTGATTGAACTAGGGTTTTATTTTAGAACCCCTAACTCTTCGAGTCTTTGAATTGAGTTTGAGCTTCCTTGTTTTCATGTGATTTTGACCTTTTTACTAAAATTCTTCTACACTGGATTTCTCTATAGATTTTACAGTAACATGTCAGTCTTCTTTCATGCTCACATGCTCTTTATATATGGTGAATTTCCCTCTAAATGGTTTTCGAATTTGCAATTAGTTCAAGCTTCTTCTGAATATAGCCTTGATTGATTTCTTTCCATTGTTTACTGATTTTTCTCTGTTACTCGACCTAAGTAAAACCCTTTTCCATCTTTCTGACTTGGTTCATTCATACAAAATCTCGGACCCTTTTGATTTACTGGTTGTTAATTGATCTCCTTACCTTATTTGCACAAACCGTGTATTGTCAAAACCTCGTCCTTAAATAACTTTTACGTACTCACCCCTAATTGCCTACTTTGCACAAAGTGTTTTGATTAATTTCTTTCCTTAATTGGTTTATTCCCGTTTGAATCTGAATCCCTTAATTAAAGGGAGTCTTGTGTAATTGATTGACAATCAGTTCTTCAATTATTCTCTTACCTTATTTCCCCATGACTTTCACACTATAAATACACGACTCTTTAACACACAGCACAGACGATTAACAATCCTGCACTACTACTTTATAATCTCTTCTGAACTCTTACTAGCACTCTCTTCTTGTCTATTCTGTGGCTTTCACAAGACTTTGCACTTTCTCTTTGTTTGTTTCCTTTGAAACTGGTATGTTCTAATTTAAGTTTTAGCACCATCACAATGTGTTTATTTATAGCTTTTGTATCCCTGCCTACTTTACTACCTCTGAATTAAATATTTAAACTAGCATGTTAATCTTTTTTTTCTATTTATTTCTGCTATGAACCCATGCTCCCTATCCCCCTTATGTGCTGTGAGTTCCAGTTTAAAACATGGCAATATGCGAGTTATTTTCTATGGTTTGAACTTGATCCCTTAAAGGATCCTAACTTCTAAACTATGTATTCTAACAGGCTTATGGGGTAGGCCAGCATTCCTCATTGCTGAGTATGCCCCACCAGCCTACCGTTGTTTTTCCTTTACTATCTCCCCATTCCCTATACCCTTATGTGTATCAATGTGAACTGTTTCCCTTTCGCCTTTCAGAATCCTGCACTTGCACTGTCTCTTAGTTCCTAGGTTCTGCCCCGCTCTTGTGAGCCTTGCCTTGGGACCCTGAGTTCCCTCTGAACTTGGACACTTGAGGGCTGGCTTTTTCACACTGCACTATGTCCTAGTCTGGTAATGTATTTGAGGTGTAAGCACTGCCCGGAGTTCATGTGAGGCTCTTAGGGAACTCTGACACACCCCAAATGAGAGAAAGGCTTTGAAATCTGATCTTTGGAGTTGGTTTACTTCATACTTCAGACAGGAAGTCTGAATCAGGCTCTCCTTGGTTGTAATTTTCAATTTCTAATGTATTTTCTTTATTTTCTTTGGACTGTAATAACTTTGTAATAAACTTTTAGGGATGGTTAGTGAAAAGGGAAGGGTAACCATTTATGTAAAAAGGGTAGATAACTTGCCTATAGGAATCTCTAATTTCAGCATTTTTCATATAGCTACCATGCCTATAAGATTTCTGCATTTTTCATATAGCTACCATGCCTATAAGATTTCTGCATTTTTCATGCCTATAAGTATTTTTGCATTCTCATTTAGTTACCATGTCTATAAGCATTTCTGCATTCTCATTTAGTTACCATGTCTATAAGGACTTCTGCATTCTCATTTAGTTACCATGTCTATAAGAACTTCAGCATTCTCATTTAGATGCCATGACTATAGGGATCCTGTACTTTCATGTAGATATTATGTCTATAGCTTCAACATTTTTCATATAGCTACCATGCCTATAAGATTTCTGCATTTTTCATATAGCTACCATGCCTATAAGATTTTTGCATTTTTTATGCCTATAAGCATTTCTGCATTCTCATTTAGTTACCATGTCTATAAGGACTTCTGCATTCTCATTTAGTTACCATGTCTGTAAGAACATTAGCATTCTCATTTAGATGCCATGACTATAGGGATCCTGCACTTTCATGTAGATATTATGTCTATAGCTTCTGCACACGCATGTAGAAATATGCCTATAGGTCCCTTCTGATTCTTGCATACCCGCTTTTCACTAGGCAAACTTGTCTACAGGTCCTAATAACCAAAAAATGTAATCAGATGTCACGTTCGTAATAAAATGTAACACCTAGATATCATGTTGTAGGTTTTCTGCATTTTTTTTCATATCTATAAAAGTGTTTAAAATCAACAACGCGTAGAAAGCATGCCTATAGGACCTATCAACCAAGTCTGAAACGTTTCCACTCGCTTATGAGTCTAAAACCAGTAATAATGCTTGCAGAACCTGTAACTTTTGCTAAAGTTTGCTTTTCTTTAATAATCTGGTAACCCCTCTTAATCAGTATGTATTCAATCTATTTTATTCTTTTCTGAAATCAGTAGATATCATGTCTATAGGAGCTTTTGTCCCACACCTAGGCAAGCCTTAGGGTAAAGTTTTAAACTGCATCAGTCTTTATCAATTACGACCAGCAGGCAAGCCTAATTCGGACTTCTTATCTGGAAATATGTGATAAATCAGCCTGCCCCAGCTTTTAAATTTTAATCAGACCCTTAAATAGTACGTGTAAGACATGCTAAACTATGTGCTTTTCTTTGC